CGGGGGGGGGGGGGGGGGGGGGGGGGGGGGGGGGGGGGGTGGAGAGCGACCCGACCCGCAGACATCTGGGGATGCCTCTCCGAGGAGGCAGGGCGCCAGCAGGGCTCCAAGGGAAGGGCGGCGGGACCAGAGAGGAGGCTGCAGCGGGCACTGCCGGGTTGGGGGAGGCGGCGCGGCTCAGCTTACCGTTCTGCTTGGCCGTCTCGTAGTCCTCCTTGCACACCAGCCGCCCGTCCTCCATGAGGTAGAACTCGTCCCCGGTGGCCAGCTGCCGGTTGCAGATGATGCAGGCGAAGCAGTGCAGGTGGTAGACGAAGTCCTGCGCCTTGCGCACCACCTGGGTCGGGGGGATGCCCTGCTGGCAGGCCGTGCATTTTGTGCCGAAGCGCCTGTCCGGGCAGCAGGGAGAGTTAGAGCTCAGTGGGGGAGTGGGGGGGAGGGGTTCTGGCTGCACCCCCCCCTCCTCTCATCTCAGCCCCTCTCCCACCCACCACTCCGGGTTGTCCATGGACATCAAAGCCGGGCCACCCGTGCTTACCATCCGGTGCCCCCTGCCTCCGGCCAGCCTCACTGCTTTGTGCCCCGGGCTCTTTCCCCACAAGAGGCCGGATCAGAGCGAATCTCCCGTGCCTCTTCCGGGCTGACATGCCGGGGCTCCCACGTGCCCAGTAAACACCCGTCTGAACCCCTCTGCCGGCTGGATGTTCCTCCACATCCTGGTCTTCGACGTTGTGGTGAGGCCTGGAGGACCCGCCCCTCGGGACAACTGTGTGTGTTCACGGGCTGGTGTGCAAAAGGCATCCAGCTAACACCTTCAAGCTCCCACAAGAAGGGCCAGGAAGGAGACAGCACGTGCCGGTGTCCGCACTGGGGTTCTGGAGAAACTTGACTTTGGCAGCAAGAGCAGGGCTCTCCCGAAGGCTTCTCTCTCCTGCCTCTCCCCTCCGTCTGGCACACGCCAAAGCCCCCTCCGTGCCGGCCTCCACCCCCTACCCATGCACAGTCCCTGAAATGTTCCAGTCTGAGGTGGGCCCAGGAATCTGCCTTTTCACACCCCTACACCATTCGGGACAAGGAGTCCACAGACCTTGGATTGCACCGTGCTGCTCTGGCCCTCTCCCCGGTCTACACCTTTCTGGACCAGCACTGAGGCAAGAGGAAGGTGCCTGCCGCCACCCCGAGCCAAGGGTGGGAAGGCAGGAGAAGTAGACACGTTGAAAATATAGTCTGGTGGGGTCATTTAAGCCTCCTTCCCATGCTGCCCACAGACGTGGAGCCACACCGGTGGTCATACAGGCCAGAGGCGAATCTGGGGCCAGTGTAGACATGGGTGATGAAGGGGGTGCTCCACTACAGGTGAGCTTTCCTTCTTTCAGGAGGGAGGCAGGAGGGGGTGGAGAGGCAGGGGCAGAGTTTAAAACAGCAATCAACCTAATTATTCATGACATTTCACACAGCAGAACTTTATCTTCTTCAGGATGAAAGACTTCGCCTAATGGATCTGGGGAAGGTTTGATTTTAATGGTCCTTTTAACTAATGTTTATAGGCAGCCTGATTTCCCCTGAAAGGACAGTACATATTTCATCCACATTAATACCAAATAAATTAATTATGGTCATGGCTATCATGATGAATCCCAGATTAATGCAGAATGATGGGTCTCTTATGCAGTAATGATACCTGCTGAGGGCCGCAGGGGCCTGGGGCAGGCGTGGCCAGCGAGTGGTGGCTTTAGCAGCTCCCCTCCCGGGAACATAGTGTCACAGAGAGAGAAGCTGGGGCGGGAGGTCTCTAAGTCTAGAAACGTGGCTCAGGGGACTGCTCTTCTGAGACGAGGTCTGAGAGGGGTGTTGGGGTGTGAGGGGCTGGGGCGTCTAGCTCGGAAGGACCCCAGATCCCTGGCCCCTGGAAAGCCTCTTGGTTTGGTGAGGAGGAGGTGGGGGGCACAGGAGTGCACCTCCAAAGCAGGTGTTCTTAGCCGGAGGCTCAGGACCGGCTCTGCAAACCACTGCAGAGTCATACACACTTGTGCATCATGAAGGGTTTTATAAAATTTTCAAAGGCACACAGGACTCACAAAAGGAGAGTTAACACTTGTCGAATGAATAAACCAGCAAATCAAGAGCCATGCCGTTAGAGGAGGTACACGGAGATGGCTAAACCCGAGGATGGAGAACAAAGTATACTGTCGTTTCTAGAAAGTTCTACACCTCCAAGAGCACCGGTGAAGCTGGGCTTCTTCAACAACTGCTGTCTAATCAGGTCACTTGTGTTAAAGGGGCAGGTAGGCAGGCACCCAGTTGTATCTTGTGTGAGTATGTGCGTGCATGCATGTGTGCGTGCGTGTCTGTGTGTGTGTGTGTGTGTGTGTGTGTGTTTGAGGGACAAAGAGAAAGGAAACCTGTGTGTATATGTGTTACTAGAGTGTGTTTTCAAAATGCCTGCAGTTTGTGTACCCTACCCAGGCCAGTTCACAGAGCAGGTGTTGAAAATGAAACTGTGCCTTCGGCACCTTCCCAGAAACTCTCCCACATAAAATGCTAAAAGTCCATGGGGTTCCTGGGTGGCTTGGTCGGCTGAGCCTCTGACTTTGGCTCAGGTCATGATCTCACGGTTTGTGGGTTCGAGCCCCGTGTCGGGCTCTGTGCTGACTGCCGGCTCAGAGCCTGGAGCCTGTTTCAGATTCTGTGTCTCCCTCTCTCTCTGACCCTCTCCTGTTCTCTCTCTCTCTCTCTCTCAGAAATAAATAAAACATTAAAAATTAAAAAAAAAAAATTCTAAAAGTCCGGTGTGCAAATCCTTTGCTGACGATACTGGAGCCAGAACAGCTCCAGAGAGTTCTCCAAAAATCAAGTCTGATCTTGTTGAGGTGCGGAGGGCTTAAGGGGAGGCTCCAGAACCAAGTGAAGACCCCCGTGGCAGTGTCCTTGGAGAGGACCACGTCTCTCTCACCACTAAGAAGTAGACTGTGGCTGTCAGTGACCAGAAACCCAGTTGACACCAGAGCCCCAGAGACATGAAAGATAACGGGGGTATAAATTTAATCTACACACCGACAGTGATTCATGTATAAGGGTGGCAAGTGCACAAGAAAAATGAAAAATAAATGGACTTTCCCACCAGCGTTTTTTAGCAATTGAAGCAATTTCCCTGATTGTGGGATTTATACCGATGGTAAGTGAAAGTTGCTCCTTATTACCTTCTTCCCCTGGAGCCCAGCCAGCAGGACCCTCAATGAGGGGACCGTGTGCATCCCCTTGACCCACAGGGCTCTCAGTGCCAAGGGGCACCCCCGCCACCTGCTGGTCAGAGTCCATGGCCCCAGAAGAAGGGGGGCTGGTGAGGACACTGTCCCCAAGCCCCAACTGTGAACTTGGCTGTTACACAGAGAGGCAAAGTCTAACCAACCTGACCAAATTTGAAGGATGCTGGGGTGGGGGCAGAGCTGGATGCCAGCCAAAGAAGGGGCTTTGTTTTTTAAAAAATGTTTTACTTATTTTTGAGAGAGAGAGAGAGAGGATTGAGTGGGGGAGGGGCAAAGAGAGAGGGAGACAGAATCCGAGGCAGGCTCGCAGCTCTGAGCTGTCAGCACAGAGCCCAACATAGGCCTCAAACTCACAGAATGCAAGATCATGACTCAAGCCAAAGTCAGACGCTTAACCGACTGAGCCACCCATGCGCCCCAAGGAAAAGGCTTCTGAGGGGTTTCCCAGGCAGTGCCCCCTTCCTCCTGTCCCCGAGCACCTCCTGTGCGCAGGGCCCTGCCTTCTGGCTGCAGCCTGCCGTGCCCTGCTCACTGCAAGGACCATCTCCCTGACCAGGCCTCCAGGGACAGTCGGGTCTCCCCAGGGAAGGCAGCTGGAGCCGATCCAAATGACAAAGAAAATGCGAGGAAGGACTTGCTAATGGCCCACATTCCTTTCCTGCTCAGACCAACATCACTGGAAATTCTCTTAACCCAGCCCAGCATGTAGTTGACAGGCACCAGGGACCCACTGAGCCAGCAAAGGAATGAATGCATGAATTCCTTAAAAAGTGTGTTTGGGGATGATTGGGTGGCTCCGTCGGCTAAGCAACCGACTCTGGGTTTCAGCTCAGGTCATGATCTCACGGTTCATGAGTTTGAGCCCCACATTGGGCTCCATGCTGGCAGTGTGGAGCCTGCTTGCGATTCTCTCTCTCTCTCTCTCTCTCTCTCTCAAAATAAATAAATAAACTTAAACAAAAACAAAACAAAACAAAACCGTGTGTCTGAACCACTGGGGAAGGACACAGAACATAAGAACTCCCATCAAAAGCTTTTCCGAGAAAGGACTCAAACCCAGGTTGCAATGAGGCTGCAGTTGACAAAAACACAACTTTGTGTCCCACTTTGTGCCATCATCATGCACATTCGACAGATGTCACCTGTGTGCCCAACAGAGAGGCAGGTATTATGACACCTTTTAGCAGATGAGAAACTGAGGCTTGGATTAGTGAGGTGCCGGCCCCGGCTCACAAAGGCAACAAGAGAGAGAACCAGGGCTTGAACTCGTGCTTCTGACAGCTCTGCTGACTCGTGGCAGGCGTCACAGCAAGCCTCCGCTGCCCCTACCCCAGAAGGGAACTTGGGGAGAAGAGCCCTGAGCAGCTCTGAGCCCCAGAGCATGAGACCCCCCAGACCTGCACTGCAGGGGCTGCCCTGGGACCCTTCACCTGGGAGGTGTCCCCTCAACATGGAAACTGACGCTGCTCACACCTTCCACACTTTTGCACCATGGCGGGCATCACGGGCCTGGACCATTGGCTGGGGAAACACACCAGGCCAACATCCAGGGGCTGCCTCTGACCCAGGCAGGGGGCCAGGCCCGTGTCCTCAGTCTCACCCTTGACCCCAGTGCTCAGCCTGAGCTCCCGTCTGCCCCTTTACCTGTCCACCCCTGCTGCTATCGACAAGCCTGGTGGGACCACTTTTGGGGGGGGGGTGCGGAGGACAATCCAGAAAGAGGACAACATGCAGGCCCTGCAGACACCACACATTCTAGAAACAGGTGCACATAAATCCTATACCACGGGTGTTCTGGCACATCCTGATTTTAAGTTCTGTCTTATGATCCCAAGTTCCATATTCTGGCCACTGGAATGCAATTAACAAAAGCAGTTCCCAAGTACTAAGCCCCCACTGTGCATCCCTGTGCGTGCACACCTGCGCTAATTCACAGACCACTCCCTGCTACCTCCTCTGGTAGCCATCCCAGCACCACCTCCCCCGCCCCCCCCCCCCGTGAATTTAGTTCCTGTCCTTCCTGCCATAATGCATGGTGACTTCAATAGCCACACAACAGTCCTTTCTGCCCCTGCTCCCTCAATTCTTTCACCTCTTCCTCTGAAGGTCATGGCCGCTACTCT